AATAGCAGCTGCACTGTAGTCTTTTCTATTTTGCAGTTTGATAGCCGTGGCAAGCAATTTGGTTCCAATATTTTAACAAGGATTCAGCTGTCTGTCAAATCAAACTTAAAAAGTTTATTTGTGTCCGACACAAGTGTTGACTGTAGTTTGAGGCGTGTTTTGATGAGTCTGGGCTCACAAAGAGTTTACAATAACTTGGAATGCGTTCTTGTAATAAGCATTAAATAGTGCTAAAATGGGACATTTTTAATGCCTCACTGCTCCTTAACGAGCATGGGCACCCCCCTTTTTTATTTTATAATTAAAGTTCTCATATGATGAATATTCAGTGGACAAAGTTTGAACAAAAATCTATTGGCAGTTTTATTTCAGGGGAGTTACCTTAAACAGGTTAATCATAGTCATCCGTATCAAATTCGAAAAAAAAATATCAAAAACGTCAAAAACGTTCTCATTTTGTGGTCAATCACGTGTGTAAAAACAGACGAGAAAGCCAAACGAGAAAAGAGTTTTGCTGGCATTGAAGACACTAGATTGACGTTTGACATTTCTTTTGTTAAAAGACAAGTTTTGAGTGGCTTTAACACAGTTCTAGGGGTGGAATTCATTGAACGTGATGAAGCTTGTGATTGGTAACCGTTGCAAGCGGAAGCCTGTAATACTTGGTGAAGTTTCCCGCGGATTTAAGTTCAGAATTTTTTCTGATTAAGCGTGCGGACCATCATCAACGTTTTGAACCTTTGCGGTAGTTTGGGTTTTTCGTTCATGATTTCAAAAGTGATAAAATNTCCCTGCTCGATAAGCTCGCCCGTTTTATATCTCACTTTCAATATTTACAAAAACATCTTACAGCTGCCGAGTTTAAAGATTGTGTAAGATCTTGCAAAGTTTGTTTCTTTTGAAGAAAGAAATTTTTGCAGTTATTTGTTCTCGAAAATCCTCCATGTGCGAGCCAAGCACTGGGTTGCATGTCGTTGTGTTTAAAGAACTAATTAAATTACGCGTACATTCACTGGAGATAAAAGAACTCATTTTAATTATATTTTTGAAAGAAAACAACTTATGACCTTCGTTTGTGCCATTTCTATTTTCGTTTCAATTTATCCCAGGTACTGAACAGCGATTGCTGGGTTTTTTGCTTCATTTTCAGAGGAAAAACTGAGCTTTAACTTAACCCCGGCTGTCAAATATTGTTGTTGAGAAAAATATTGTTGTTGAGAAAATTAGAGCTATTGTTTTTATGCTTAATTTTATAGACGGTCGGCTCACATTGTTACAAATAATTTTTTTTCATAATTTATTTACTATGAGTAGCCGGCGCGCCAAGGAGAACTCTGTCATAGTGCACTAGAATGGTTATGAAGATAGCGGCTGTATTCTGAACGAGAAGCAAATACTTTTTCGCGATTCCTCGTACCTTAATTTAACGTTCCAACGAATCGAACCATCGGAGTCTTGTTGACCTTTCAGAATGGCGATTTGCTCCTCCTCTTGGCTCTGGTTTTAAGTAACGCGTTTTGATACCCTCGTCCGTTATTTTTGACAAATTTGCGGATACGAGGACGCCCTTTCCGTTTGTAAGCCAGCTGCTTCGTTTCGTCGAAATTGGCCTTTAGGCTCGAGTCTTTCTCGGCAAAACGTGGGCCAGTAAACACAACAAATGCTTTTCTAAGAGGAGGAGGGATGGCTGTCAAATAATTATGAACGACGAGCTCCCATTTTTGTGTGAAGATAACTTGATTTTATCAACTGGGTTGATAATGTCAATTGGCCACCGTAAAGAGATTCGAAAGCTGACGTTTCGAACGTTAGCCCTTCGTCGGAGCGAATCGAGGCATTGTGTGGGTTGTGTGTGTGGTTTATATACAGAAAGATGGAGCTACGCTATTGGTAAAGCTATCAATCTATCTAAACAACAACAGGCCACCAAGTCTCCCATCCCTGTTCCCCGTTCATTCATTTACTTAATGAGGAATCAAGCATCCCCTTCATACGCTTTAGGAAAAGAAATAGAAAACAGTCTACATGTAAATACACTAAGCTTCTAAACTCACCTGAATGCTGCAGCAAATACTCTCGACAAGCCCTGTAGTCCTCCTCTAAAATGGTTGTTGTGAGCTTCACTTCAATGACGCCAACTTCCTTTAGAACCTCCTCTGTCACAAGGAATTTTTGCACCATTTCATTCAGAACACCATTGCAATAATCGTACCACAATTCGTCAAGTATTTCCAGAGAGCGACACTCGACTGTGATGATCAAACTCCCTGAATGAGTATCCACAATCAAGACGTTTCGTACTTCTTGCAAGTAATAAACCAAGCCATTTAATTCCTCTGGTTTGGATGGGTCAATTGTTTCCAAGTATTTTGAGGCCGCGAGGTTTAGAATTTGCTGCGCTGTGGGAAACCTAGGGTCTGCCTTTCGCATATGTGATGTGATAGGTATCATGCTCATTCCTTGGACCGGTAGCCCTGGTTCTTGTTCCTGTGAGGCCACT